CTTACCTGCCAAAGCGATCCCCTCCAGCACTGTGATGCCAGCGCTCTCCTCCCTCATCTTCGATCTTTGTCCTGGTCTTCCTCCAGGTTCAGAGTCTTCAGCTGCTTAATTGCCCACGTCCAGTGCTTGCGTATGCACTGGAGTTACTTTGACTCAGCAAGGAATTCTGCCGAGCCTGTGTACTGAGCTGTGCGTGTGTGGCTCACTGTACAGAAACAAATAAAAATATAGCTGCAAGCAGCAATAAAGGTGGCCAAGCAGTAGAGCCGGTCATGGCACATGAGAAGATATTGTAGTTAGAGAGAGAAAAAAAACAGACATGATTTTATGAATGATAAAAAAAAATGAAATTCAAAATGGCCGCCGACCATGGTGACCTCTTGAAGCCATATTGTATTTGGCAGTTATGGTGTTGAGTTATCATATGTATAACAAGTTTAACATACTTCACTAGTGATATAAATGCACATTTATGCAATTCAATGCCATGTCAAAAAGTGATTGGCTTGTGGCGGCCATATTGATTTGGGGATCGGGCCTGGTTTTACCTCCGTGGTAGTAGAGGTCACCTTGGATATAAGTGGAAAGTTTTGTGTTATTCTGATACATGGTTTCAGAGTTCAAGTTGTTTGCAGAATATTGCACCATCCAAAATGGCTGCCAAACTTTGTGGTCACATGACTTGTAACAAACATATATGATTGCAGAGCTATGCATCTCCATATAAAGCAATTTATATATGTGTAGCTTTAGCTTTAACAGATGTTTGAAAATTGTCAAAAATAGGTTTGCTTAAACCAAGATGGCCGCCACAGCATGCCACCTATGACCTTTATGTTGACAAAGATTACAAACAGCACCATTCTCTACCATTGTGCCAAATTTCATGCGTTTTTACATACCGATGTGGTTATAATTAGCATTTGAAAAAAAGAGCATCAAAATGATAGAAATATTTGTTGAATTTGACACAATTCAATATGGCCGCCGAACCATGTGACCAATTGACTTGTAATGATCAGTTATGAGTATAGAGCTCCCCGTGACTTTAAACTGCAATTTGTACATCTGTAGCTGTAATAGTTCCTGAGAAACGGATGTTTGAATATGCAGCTGAATATAATCAACTAAAACAAGATGGCTGCCATGCAATGTGACCTATGACCTTTATGTTGCAGAAGATTAGGCATAGCACAGAGCTCTACCATTGGGCCAAGATGCATAAGTTTATGAGTTACAGTGTGCCAATAAGAGGCTTTTGAAAAAAAGGCCATAACAATAATAACATCATCTAAACATGATTGGCTTGCAGCGGCCATTTTGTTTTTGGAATTGGGCCAGTTTCTACAACCGTGGCAGAAGAGGTCGCCCTGGATATATGTGCAAAGTTTTTTGAGTTATTCTGATAAATGGTTTCAGAGTTTAAGGTGTTGGCAGAATATTGCAAAATCCAAAATGGCTACCAAACCATGTGACCAATAGCGCTACAATGAGCTCATCTGGCAACAGAGCAAAGCAGAAGATCACACAGCAAGTTGCACATCAGTAGCTTTAGCGGTTCTGGAGATGCAGGTTTCTGAATAGTTCACAAAAATCGTCACAAAAACCAAGATGGCTGCCACATCATGTGACCTATGACCTTTTATATTATAATAAGCTCTGAAGAACACAGGGCTGTAGCATTGTGCAAAGTTTCATGAGTTTTTGAGTTACAGAGCACTTGTTACAGGCGTTTGAAAAAAGTGGCGGAATAATAATAATCTGAACAGATACAATAGGTGTCCTTGCAACTTCGTTAATGCTGACAGGTAGTTAGGAGGATGACAGAAGAGACTCACACAGTCCCTTCTGTCATATCAAAGTGGTTGTAAACCCAAAACACAATTTTCACAAATTTAGGTGGCCGCATTACTCTTTTCAGAGCCGAGCGGATCAGGTGGTAGGTTTGGACCAGTCTGCCCTGCCATGAATGGTCAACCATCCTTACTACTTACAATCAATCTTGCCAGGCTCAAAACTAACAATCTCACCAGCAGCACTGTTTGGTGGGGCCGGTAAGAGTATTTGATTGGCAGTGGTTCTACCTGTCATTGCAATTCAGGGTAGGGCAGACTGGTCCCGTCCACAAAAAGAGCAAGGAAGAGAAGCCATACACACAACTTTTTTGGAGCATGCGTACAAGAGGCGGCAATGATACAGAGGGTAGATGACCCTGAAGGTCATTGCCACCACTAACAGCAAGAGTACATCACTGGCAGGATCAACAGGTCTTTTTAATCTCAAATTATAAAAAAAAGAAAACGCATGCAAATACTGTATATTGCAGAGACTATGGGGTCTATTCACTAAGCTGCCGAAGGATCTAGCCGTAGCTTCGGCCGATCCTTCGGCTAGCTTCGGCCCCAGGACCCCTTCGGTTCAGTAGAACCGAAGGGGTGCTGTACGGGCTATTCACTATAGCCCGTACAGCTCCCGAACGTGGCCGAGCGGCTCAGTCGAGCCGAACGCATATGCATCGGCTCGGCTGAGCCGCGCTGAAAGCCGAAGCTGGCCAAACAGCCAGCCATTGGCCAGTAAATTGAAATAGCCAATAGGAATCTAGCAATGAATTCCAATGGGCAAAAACTTTATTTTTCTTTTTTTTTTGTCTGACACAGCTCCGTGTCAGAATAAAGAAACAAAAAAAAGAAAAATCAGTGTTTGTACGGCTGAAATCAGCCGTACAAGCCTGAAGTGAATAGCCGAACAGTGTTCGGCTCACTTCACTTGGGGACGGTTGAGGGCAGCCGAGTATATACTGTTGAGGGAATCTATCAAAACTGGAGCAGACAGAATCTGAAGCAGTTGTACAAGGCAACCAGCTATCCTCGTCAGCTTGTTCTGTTAAGCTTTCAAAATAAACGATGGAAGCTGATTGCCTGCTTTTCAAATGCTCTCCAGAGCATTTGAAAAAATAAGGCATGCAGAATTTGTTCTCCCTGCACTGGAACTGACTACACTGGTGTGAACAGAGCCCAGAAATACCATAGGAATACATTAGGATGCATTTCCGGTGCGGACAAAAAAGGCTCTGGTGCGCATCTGGTGTAAACAAGCCCTTACACTTTCTTCCATCAATGTTACGGAATGTCCATACCTCAGTATGGACATGGACAGAAGGAAGAGTCTGCAGGGACCAAAGCATATTGCACTAGCGATCCACAGGTCGTTGTTGAAATGCTTTACTGGCTTATATGCTAAAAAATAATAAATGCATGCACATTTTTTTTCTTTTATGAAGTGTGCCTTTTAATAATTTTTTTTCAAAAGGTTGAATTTTCCTCTAAATTAAACTTCCAGTCTAACTGTAAGGTCTCATTCACACCTTGTGGTGCTTGTGGTGCATTGCGAAACGGGCAGCCCATTCAGTAGAAAGGGCTGCCTACCGCAGCTAAATTGCACTTTTTTTAATTGAATTTTTTTAATCGCATTGCACATCTCATGGTAATAGGTTACTATGCGATGTGGTCAGTGGTGTATTTTGGTTTTGTTCTGCCCTTGGCAAGACTAAACTCGAACAACCCCTCAATTTAAATTTGCCTTGCCCCTTCCTGTTTAAGACATTTTGTATAACCTGTCAGTCACTGGATAACGCACAAATGCTGTATCCGGCATCTGACAGGTTGTGCTAATAGCATGCAGAATACCACCAGCTATAGAGGGCTACAAATTCCAGCAATACATTATACAGCAATGCAGAATAATATGAAGCTACATATTCTTCGTTGCTCCAGGGTGGCGGCCTGATGTCCCCAGGGTCTCAGGTGGGCTGTTCAGGCTCCCAGGTGGGCTGTGCGGGCACTCCGGAGGCTGTGTGGGCTCTCAGGTGGCTGTGCCGTGTCTCAAGACGTTGTACGGGCTCTCGGGTGGCTGTGCCGAGTCACAACAGGGGTCTGGATGGTCTTGTGTAGGCAGGTGCAGTCGACATGGTTCCTCAAAAAGGAGGAGGAAATGTGTGGCCGATGCTGTAAGCAGCGCCGCAAGGTCCCCATAAGGCTGCTGTGAATTTAAATAGCTGGTATTGGCGCTTAGTATAGGAGCATTCTCACGAGTAAAAATGCCCAGTATCGGCACCAATACAGGTAATGGCAGGGGAGGCCCTGCCTGCCTGGTTTGGTGGCAGCGTTTTTTGTGGCCCCCCCTAGAAAGTGCCGCCCATGGCAAATGCCTAGTTTGACTTGTGGTTGTTACGCCCCTGCATGTGGTGCGTTACAACGCACTTGCGATGGCTAGGTGTGTTGGGGTGCCATAATGGAATAATGGTACCCAGCGCACCTAACATGGAATGCGGGACTTATTTTGTAATACACATTTTGCCTGACGAACGAACCCTGCGTGGTCCCGAAACATTGCATTTTCACATTATGCTGCATGAATGTCAAAGACAACATTCTTAAGCTGAATGGTGGTGCGGACAACATATTTTACAGTGTATGTTGTGGTGCCATCCAGCACCCACGTAATCTACAATAAGGGACCTATCGGTAAGGAGTGCAATGGAGATATTAGTATTTTCTGCTGCGCAAACCTCCGGTGTTATATAAAACCTGCATGATAATAATAAGCAGTCTTGTAGAATTTGCATGTTAGGTCCAAACACAGAAACTACTAAACAGAATATTCTATCTGTAATATATATATAGATATATATCTATCTATATAGAAAGATATATATCTATCTATCTATCTATCTATCT